CATAACCTATGACATTAACTGGCGGGACAACGTCTCTCGGGTTCAGCTAGTTAAATATATATTAATAAAACTTTTAATTTTAGTCTGTTATCGATATATACTTCGTCTAACCACAACAATGAAAGCTTTGATGCCTGTGGAAAGATGAAGTTTTCTTAATGAAATTATACTTTCTTGAAAATGTTTCATTATAGACACTATCTATCCGCAGTTTATTACCGCGAGCGATTGAATCTTTGTTTTTGAAATGTAAATATATTTATACAGAAATTTGATTTTTTTTAAATATTAGTAAATCTTATTAATTAATATTACTAATATTCTTTTAACCACTCCTGGTAAGCTTGAAAATGCTTGTGTTGGTGGTTCACAACAGTAGTCAAATGGCGGATTCGAACCCACGACCTTTTAAGTTCACGATCCGAGCCCTGCCATTAGACTACTGTCGCTTCAATTAAAACACCAAATTAAAACACCGCTTGCTAAATATAAAAAACTTAAACATTTTATGGGTTACGGTTGAAATCGACCACTGGACAGTCGCCAAGTAGTTTCGTGTCGTAGTCGTAATTCATTCACTTCGAAATTATTTTTTAAGATTATTAAGATTTAAGATATCAATAACAACTCTAATCCATTATTATTCAAAAAATATTCTACTTATTTCTATTATTATACTATAATTAAATACACTTAAATTAAAAATCGACTTCAAAACTAATAAAAATGAAATAACTTCAAGTGCTAAGATATTCTTAGTTTCTAAAATATTTTGAAGTTATTTTATAAAAAATCACTTAAATCGGTTTAGCAGTTTTCGAGAAATCAGTGACCATACATCGAAAACATACGCGTCGTATTATATATAACCTCCTTTTTAGAACTTGGTTAAAAAACAAAATTCAAATTGTAGAGAACAACAATCAAAATACTGATTGACCATCAAAATACCTACTGTACTTCGCTGCGACTGGTCCAGACATGCTGGGATTACGAGCAATTACCTTAACCTTGCCTTTTCAAACTATGGCGAAGTTCTTAATAATACCAGTATATATTTCTTAGTAATAATAGCGCAAAGAATTAGCAATCAGTTGCGGCGCTGAAGGCCTCGGGTTCGAATTCAGCAAATCGGAAATACGTATCAAGTATGGACTACAAATATGTATTCCGGATCTGAATGTTTGTCCTTGTGAAATTTGTGTAAGTAAACTACCTCCTTAATACAGGAGAAAATTCTAGTGAGAAGTTGACGTTTTTTTTTAGAAAGAAAAAAGAAAGATTACCAAACTATTCTGGAAGGAACTTAAAACACTTCATATAAATATTAAAACATATGCTCTAACCTATTTATCGTGCTGAAATTTCTCTTCAACTCCCAACCAGAACGGATGCATTCGAGATTGACAAGACAAACGTTTAACAGTTTCTCACGTGCAAGCTTTGAAAGTGATGGCGCTGAGCTTTTCTGTACATGACAGTGACAAAACATGAGCTGTTACAAGGACTATCTAAAATAAACGTCACAACGTGGGATATAAATTTCGCTTACATATTGCATTCAAATCTATACATACTACATAAAATTAGAGTATCTTTTAGTAAGTGTTATTCGCATGTCAATATAACATTATTTTTGCATTTACGATTATTTACAAAAATAATAATTGAAATTAATAAAAAGTAAAATTTGGTACAGCCCTGACAACTAAGTAACAAAGCGTATCGGAATCAGGTGCATAACTGCATTATGTAAAGTAAAATTAATCTCGGAAGTCGTTGAGCGATTAGCTTGACATTAATAGCCGCTCAAGCTACATAGGAAGCAGTTTGCATGATTATAATTACGCAAGCTTTGCATCTATTACACTTGCATAGAAGCTAGAATCGTGACTAGTCCATAAACACAATATCTACAGGTATGAATCCAGTAGTTTATATTGATTGTACAATCGTAGCTGCTACTTACTATATTGTTGTTTTAGAACAAAATCTCATTGTTTTGAATGCATGTTGGTAACTAATGCAGTTTTAAGAATACTAAGTGGATATAGCTTCAAGAACCGACAACTGATGGGGAAGAAAGGTTGTCGAGTGGCTACCTCGTACCGTTAAGCTGAGTGTAGGGATGCCCCCACTAGTTGGAGTGACGAACTGGTACAATATGCAGGAAGTCGATGGATGCAGCAAGCATTCTTTGGGGGATGTATATGTTCGGCGGTGGACTTGTAAAGGACTTCCCCGTTTTGATATTTTACTAAGTGTAAGAAATTTATGTCTAGGATTTCGTCTAGGTAGGTACCAACCTCTTAACTATTTCTGCCACGAAAAAGCTGATATGGAGATCCAGTATAATTATAGATGTCCATCTTAGTCCTTAGAGGCGAAGCATCTGTAGCCTTATTTATTTGAAGATGTATATAGATGTCCATGAACTGCACTTATCATCAGTTGGTACTCGTATAGACGTTCGTTATACACTTCAGAACATAGTTGTGCGTGCACATAGAAAAAAATTCAAACCCAGAAAAATATTTGTAGGTCATGCAAATACTTGTTCTGTTTGGGATACGAAACTTTGACGTGTCTCCGCTAAAACGCTTTACTATTGCACAACCGAGCCGTCTAGTTATTTGACATTACATTAACTAGTAGTGCGTTTGATACTTAAAAATAAAGACCAAGACCTTCTAGAATATACCCGATACATTAAACATGATTACTAAGCGTGCCTTGATTTTATTTTAAAAAAGAATTTCAATTAATTTTTTTTGATTGAGAGATTGAGAGATTGCCACATAGGAGAATATTTGCCATTGTTTGTACACTCGTCGTTTGGCAGACGGGTTTACATCGGTACTTTTTTTACTATTTTGAGTTGTTACTGTTAGCGCTCAGTTTTATTGTTGTTGTTGGATGCTGTTGTCCATCCCATTTATTATTAGTTTTGTTGTTGTTGTAAGATGCTGATGCCCATCTTCTTTCTGTTAGTTATTAGTTTTGTTGTTGTTGTTAGATGTTCTTGCCCAACTTCTGTTTCTCTTACTCTCTGTTGCCTGTTACGACATCCATAAGAAGTTATAGGATAAAGACTAGGTGAACCTAAAAGGAATCCAATGTTATTAACATATTTATACATTAAGAATTTATTGTTATCACTTTAATTCTGAAAGAAATTTAAAGTGTCCATGCTAATCACCGGAATACCACCTGATGCCCCACGCAGTGTAACCAATTATGCAAATGACTTGCGAAACAAAATGAACGACATTTACGAGCACGTCAGACAATCGGGCCAGCAAATGTCCGAAAAGACGAAAATCTGCTATGACCGCAAACCGAACAATAAAGGGTTCGACGAAGGTTAGTTTGGTTGCTTAATCCAGTTCGCAGCAAAGGGAAATCTCCTAAGCTTCGTGCTAAATGGGACGGACCGTACCGGATTATGACAAGGATCAAAGACGTAACCTGACGGATACAGAAAGGCGCAAGAGGTACTCCTAAGATCGTCCATGTGGATCTACTGGCGCGCTATCATGGAGCCCATAATGCTCGGGACGAGCATGTCTTAGGAGAGGACAGTGTTGCGTACAATTAACGCCTGGTATATGAACGACACTAATTACCACTAGCGCCTTATAGTATAGAGTAGCAGAACTACGAGAGTCAAAATCCTTCTAGAAATTTTTAGTTAAATTTAAGATTAATATGTGTTATGTATTAGACTAAAATTTTGTATGTTTCCCTTAAAGATAAAATAAAGGAATGAAACATGGAATATGTGTGAATTAAATATGGAAAAGAAACGATAGATATACACATTTTGTGCCGATATAAACATTTAGTACCCATTTAGTAGCAAATAAAGAATTTGATTTTGAATAAAACAAATGCTCCGATGGTGATATAAAACGTCAAGTAATTTAATCTGCTGAAGCGCCTTGGTATACTATTGTCGTAGAGTGTCTACTGAGATGTACTGGGTTGTGATCAAAAACTTTGCAATGTAACGAATATTGTGAACAATTTTTTTGTAAAAACAAAAATACATAATTCCATAACTAAAGAAAATAAAAAAGCAATTAATAAAGACTTATTGCTAGTATTTGAAAATTATAAACTAATATTTACAACTTGTGTGTAAGTTCTGTGTACCAAACTTTAAAGTTATTACCAAAGTTATCAGCATTTAATTTATGGCATAGTGCAGGAAATTAATAGTTCTAAATCAAATCTAGGTCAATGCACATGTAAGTAACTTAGTATTTATTGCTTAATAGCTTTTTAGCATGTATTTACACGTTTATTATTTTATTTGGGTGTCACAAACCATTTAAAAATTCTTGGCTGCTGGGCCATTATAAAAAGGTCTTAACATCATAGACTACCTGGGTCACAAGCTTTAATTGAGCCACACACGGTCAGTTCAACTGGTCATTCCAACTGATCAGTTCAAACTAAAACTGTTGATATTTTTTAAATATTGAATTTTAAATATATCGATAATTATAAGTTTATTTATCGATATATCAAAAATCCAATATTTAAAAAATATATAATTTTGATGGTGTTGGGATTCGGTTCGCCGCGCACAAACGTCTGCTCTGTCTGTTTGCAATATGCAAAGAAAACTAAGGTAGCTAGAGACAACAGAACTAAAAGTGATTTGATGATCTAGTTAAGAGTTCACAAAAAACGCGCGCAAGCTTATTTCAGTTTCTGTAAAAATGATTCCCTGAATGTTTTTATATTATCATACGACTGCCAAAAGAACATGCTGCTACTCGAAATTCCCGATCACCTATTATTCTAGGCAGATTTATTTTTTCGATTTCACAATTGTAGCAGGCTCCTAAAAGTCGCAGTTAAATAAAGACAGTACTTTTGCATATGTTTGGCCTGAAGACAAATTTCCGAAAAACTCTGACTTAATTGCATCTGCGATCTATCATCTATTAAATGCAACGACATTTCCTCTACACATTAATACTGTAAGATTAATGACCGATAGGTGCGCCGACCAAAACAAGAACACCACTGTTTTAGGAATGTGCCAAAAGTGGTTAACAGAAGCTCCTCAACATATAAAGAAGATGGAATTAATATTTCCGGTCGTGTGCCAATATTTTCTTCCCGCATATCGAATTTTCGGGAGAATAGTGAAGGAGTTTCGCAAGCGAGACAAAATACTGGAGCCGACTGGTTACACGAACATTATGACAGAATATTCCAATCTCATCTTAGTAGGACAAGAATGTCCAGTCAAAGATTGGAAAGACACGGCCAAAAAAGGTTTTAAGACCCGTTGGAGCTTGGCATGTGCCTTTTATAAAGTGCAAGCGTTTTATATTGAAGCGTTCTAAGGTGGCGTCTGGAAATATGTTGGTAAAAGGGGAAATACATTATGTTACTAACACCGGAGCATATAGAAATGTCTGTAAAAAAGGCAAATTTACGAACATGATCAATCCGCAAGATATAAGATTGCGATCGGGAACCATTAAAGCAACAAAAATTAGAGATGTCAACAAATTGTTAAGTGCTCACTTTGACGCTGACTGGAGGGGTTACGAGTTGTCTTTTTACGACAAATTGATAGCAAATATCAGTCGATGACGTGGAAAGTGAAGAGGATGAAAATACTGATGTTGATCTAGAAACCTCCTGCCAAGAACAAATAATTTTAATTGACCTAATGATTTAATGTTTACCAATAAAGTTTAAAAAAAATGTTACTATCAGTTTCTTTATTTATATTTAAATGTACTTATTACCTAGCATAAATATATTCTGTTCAAAATAAATGTTTTTTTCATTGAGCACTTCAAAGTATCAAGTTAAGTTTCAAAACCAGCAATGTTCGAGCTTCAGTTTCAAATTCTGCCAAGTCCACCACTTTTTCGTCTTTACATTTACAGGAAACATTACTATACCGCAAATACGAGGGTGGATTGAAAAGTACTCGGCCTAACCAAGAAAATAAACACATACTAAATTAGTTATATTTTTATTTTTCTACATAATCACTATCAAGTTCAATACACTTTTGCCACCTCCCCTTCCAAGCATTTAGACCGTTGAAAAAAAATTATTCTTCCTTAGAGTCAAAATATGCGTCTACAGCTGCTTTGACCTCGTCGTTTGTCGAAAATCTTTGACCTCCCAAGTGCTTTTTTAGGTTAGGTAACAGAAAGAAGTCTGATGGTGCCAGATCAGGTGAATACGGCGGATGCGGTAACAGTTCAAAGCCACAGTTGTGAATTTCAGCCATTGACTGTACTGACGTGTGAACACGGGCGTTATCTTGATGAAACAGGACTTTTCTTCTGAGCATTCCTCGACGTTTTTCTTTTATTTCCTCTCGTAAACGACGTAGTAAGGTGCAGTAGTAATCAGAGTTTATAGTCTGACCCCTTTCAAGATAATCAATCATAATCACACCTTTCGAGTCCCAGAATACTGAAGTCATCACCTTATTTGCCGACAAAATCGACTTAGCATTTTTAGGGGGTGGTGAACAATGTCTTCTCCACTGTTTTGATTGTTGTTTTGTTTCCGGTGAACAGTAATGAACCCATGTTTCGTCCATAGTAACAAAACGATTCAAAAAATCATCTGCATCGGCTTCAAATAACTCCAAACAGTCGCGTGAAATAGTCAATCGCGTCCTTTTTTGTTCAACTGAAAGCAGTCGCGGAACCCACCTCGCAGACACCTTGTGGAAACCCAACTCGTTGACAATGATGTTTTGAGTTCGTTCATGAGAGATGCCTATAATCTCGGTGTTGGCGACGCGCCTATAAAAATGTTTCAGTTTATTAAATCAACCGATGACGTTGCTATGAAAAAAGGGGCAGTCACGAGCAACGACGCTCTGATAAGAGAATGCTTAGTTAAATCTTTAAGAAATGTCGAATTAATGATATGAAGGTCTTGGGTTCGACTCCCAGGCCGGACTAGTTTGTTTGTTTTCCTAAGTAATATCGCTTAATAAATTCGTAAGGAATTTAAGATATAAATTATGTTACCGGATTTGTTCCCCGGTTGAAATCATCTTTCAAATGATGTAAATTCATAAGAATATTAAAGTGAAGTTAAAGATCGGATTTGTTCCCCGGTCGAGATAATCACTCTGTGCATAGGCAGAATTAATGGATATTAATTGCATAAATGTTGTTTTGTATAAGTTTGATACGTTTTGTACGAAAACAAATGCCTATTTGTTATGATTGATTAATGAGAACATTCATTTATATTGTTATCTGATTAAAGATAGTTTCATACAGTTCGAAAATTGTATAAAAGCATTTAATTTGCCTAATATGGTCAAAATTGGTGTATTTCATAATTTAATTTTTTCTGATAGCCGAGAGCCGTGCAAAGTTAGTTGTTCACATAGCGTGAGTACACGGAAGCACGCTGGCCACGCCCTTAGGAGGCCGAATATGTAAAAATTTAAAATGTTTGTAATTCAGTGATTTATGTAAAAATTACTTGTAAAATATTTCAGGTTAATTGTACGTGCTAAAAAGGTAAATTCTGTGTTATTTTCATGTGAAAATTCCTGTGTATAAGTGAAATAATGATAGTTTTGTATAAGAAATTTAAAAGTGTTTTAAATAGTGAAATAAATAGAAAAAATGTAAAATTAAACTATTGTATTGGTTAGCTTATGTATAAATTCAAGTGAGAAACATTGTTTTAACTTTCTGTGTTAAATATTTAAGAAATTTCGATTTCGAACTTGTGAGTAAAATAGGCAGTTTTCGTTTAATAAATAAAAGGTTTTTTATGATATGAAGATATGATGTATATCATGGTGTAGATATTGTTTTGTACTACCTATATTGATAAATTGTATTTGTATATGATTTGAATAAATAAAGATATTGAGTGAAACGTGAGAGAGTAATAGTACAAATTCATGTAATTAAGTTGCGCAAGCCCGCAGATGGCGCGGCTCACTTTCGCGTTTAGCTTAGGGGTAGGATAGTAAATTGATTTTATTGCAATTCGTTCGGGAATCGTTCGGGAATCGTTCGGGAAATATTCAAGGAAATAGTTCGGGAATCGTTCGGTAATCGTTCGGGAATCGTTCGGGAAATATTCAAGGAATCGTTCGGAAATCGTTCGGGAAATATTCAAGGAAATAGTTCGGGAATCGTTCGGGAATCGTTCGGGAAATATTCAAGGAAATAGTTCGGGAATCGTTCGGGAATCGTTCGGGAAATATTCAAGGAAATAGTTCGGGAATCGTTCGGGAATCGTTCGGGAAATATTCAAGGAAATAGTTCGGAAATAAATAAGAAAATCCGGGAAAAAGTTCAAGAAAAGTGAAAAACCAGCAGTATAGGGAAAAGTGATTACTCTCTCACGGAACGGTTTGAAGATAATTGCTGTTTCATTCCCAAGATCCTTTAAGTTATACAGTCCACATCGAAGAATTAAGGCGTCGGGACCGGGACGACTTCGGAAGACCCGTAATCCCCGTCTGAACCTACTTGCTGAAAAGGAAGAGGTTATCGCCCTAGTGTGTTACTCCGTTGCGGAGATCACATACGTTGTTCCCGAACCCAACGTAGGCGTGATAGGAGGCCGGATCGAGAGAAGCCTCGATTCCTGTTTCTTAGTACCCGATCCGCTAGGTCCTTTTCAATTGATCCTTTTCAGGATCAAGAGGGAAATCCGACCTGGTCATTTTCACTCGGCTATCTCTCTAATTTTTAATCTGCGGTCTCCCATTATTAAATCAAGTACTTTTTTAATATTTTCGTCAGTAGTCGACGTCGAAGGCCTTCCAGAGCGGGGTTCATCTTTCACACTCTCTCTACCACGCTTAAATTCTGCTATCCATTTTTTGACGGATGAATATGACAGAGCACAATCGCCTAATGTACTGACCATGTCATCATGGATGGCTTTTGATGATAGCCCCTTCTTATGGAGGTACTTAATGACGGCACGCTGCTCGATTTGCTCCATTCGCGGAAATTATGTCCGATTACTTTGTTAATAAATTTATAAAATCACAACTAATTATCGCACACGTTTCGAACTTCACACAATGAACTAGCCTGAACTGAACTAAATAATGTGGGTAGATTTGATTTTTAGAATTGAATGGATCTGTGTTAGGCCGAGTACTTTTCAATCCACCCTCGTAGATATTTATATAAATTTGAGATACTTATCCTAAACAAAACTGAAAAATGAAATCGGTGGAGTAATTTTAGAAAAAAAAATATAATAAATTCTCTCCCTTGACGTTTAAAGGTTACTGGACTTCTTGAAACTATACCCCTCTGTCAAAATATCGTTTTAAATTTGGAAGACTTATATTCTTTAATTAGGAACGCTAATAAATTCATTTAGTTTCAATGATATAGGTATTATAACTGGTGGAGCCACGTGTTTAAGGCTGCCGAAAATCTAGTTCCCCGGTCAAACCTCAAACCTATTACGCGAGATATTAACTAAAGTGGACTGTATTTGCGATTGCTTCTATGCTTATGTAAAAGTGACTACTATAGCATGCGGTACAATGCACTCGCTCTTCCCTAAACTAAAACTATTACTTGCCAAATCGATGAAAGGAATCCTGCCTGATGGGGAGAACACAGAATTGGAGCGGTTAAACAATTATTAAATATTTCAGGCAGTATGGAGTTGACTCACCGGGGTTCTTCTATCCTTTAGAGCACTATAGCGGCGATTTCCGGAACCTCCTCTGGACAGACACCCTGGGGCCCCAGTGGTGCGTCAGGAGAGAAGAGTTGTAGTTCAACGATGGCTGCGGCGGGAAGAAGAGCCGCGCGTCGGTCCCGCGTGTCTTATATATCCTCGGGTCCGATGATTACGCGATGTTCTAGAATCGTCTTCTTTCCCCTCCCACCCCATCACCCCGATGTGTCGATAGGAGGGTACGAATGATATCGTTTGGGAAAGGGAATAATGATTCGGCAAGTTCCTACCGTCAAAAATAAAAACGCGAATGGTTTTCCGCGCAACCATCTCCCCCCGCCCTTGAAGGATTTCCTTCAAAAAAATAACTAAACAACTAGAGCTAAGATCGACTAACAAATAACTAACTAACGCTAAGATTACCTAAATTCAACTACAATTTTAATCTAGAAATCCAATTTAAATTATGGAAGAGGCAAGGGGCACAAACGGACAACAGGACGTAGGTAAGACCCAACCGTGGTCTTAACGCGAGCTATCCTAATTACTCCGTCGGAACCGGGAAAGACCTCCTCGACGATTCCTAACGGCCAGTGGAGAGGCGGCGTATTCTCCTTAGTGAGCACAACTACCGTTCCTACAGCTAAAGGCTCTGTCGCTGTGTTCCATTTTTGCCGAGACT